TCGCTAAAGTTGCTGAGGCTGGCTTTGAACTTGCAATCCTTCTGCATCAGCCTCCTGAGCTGTGGGATTACAGATGTGCAACACTGCACCTGGCCTCAACTAATTTATATGACAATATTCCAAATACTCAATTATATTATCTMATTAGTTCATACTTTTTAAAAAAGTGATATGATATAAAAGCTATGAAAAAATAAATTGATCTTTCCTTTACCTAGCAGAAATGGTGACCCATACCCCTTAAAGCAACTAAAGTTTGAGAATGGTAATGAAGTTATGATCAAGTACTAGTAACCACCAAAGGCTAAGATGATCAAGGAAGGATGAATGAATAGAGGGAGAGAAAGACGTGTAGTAGGGTCATAATGGGGCCTCACCAGTGTAGTAGAGAGGAGAGCTAAGATGATGCCTTTGATATAGCTTCGACGTGATATCTCTACCAAGAGATCAAACTCAGTGCTCAACAGTTCTGTACAACCTGTTCAGATTTACACATATTATTGAAATAATAAGTTCAGTGTGAAAGATGGAACCTAGTACATAATAAATTTTAATCTGCAAAACTATTTCATATGATTCTTACTTGTTCATCATACTATGCATTTTCTAAAGTTATATCTTAGATTAATGCATTTTTACTTTATATAAGATACCTAAGATGAGGGCTGCTCATCTAATGACAATGTCAAACTATGGAGATTTTTTTAAGAGTCACAGTTTGGGCACACACACTATTGGAACAAAATATAATGTATAGAATCCAAAGCAGCAACAAATAGAAATATATCTGAATGGTCTTTGTATTGGACATTGAACTTGGATTTTGAATATGTCTATAAAATGCTAAGGCTTTACAACGCCTTAATGATTGTATGATTTAAAAATATGAAAATGKTCTTGCTATATTCCCCTACATATCCAATCCCACAGTACTCCAAAAATAAAATATTTTTWAAAAAAACTACTGCAGATAGTGTTGCAAGCCATGGAGATGTATCTTTCTCATCAAAATACTGGTTTTCATTGTTGTCTTGCTAAACTCATCCAATGATGGTGAGAAGTTCTATTTAGATTTTCTCAAGGCTTCTTCAAGCACAGTGGGAAACTATATCAGTATCTAATATTTTAAAAAGACATTTCACAAATGTAGCTTTCATTTATTTGCAAGTAGACAAGAATGAGTCATAGAATGAAAAACCAAAAATCTACTTTTTAAAAAGGCACCAGTTAAAGAAATTAAATGAACCAAAAAAAAATTTTTTTTTGGTACTATGGATTGAACTCAGGGGCACTGGACCACTGAACCACATCCCAGCCCCATTTTGTATTTAATTTAGAGACAGGTCTCACTGAGTTGTTTAGCGCCAGCCTTTGCTGAGTCTGGCTTCGAAATCACAATCCTTCTTCCTCAGCCCCCAGAGCTGCTGGGATTACTGGTGTGTGCCACCACACAGGACTCAAATGTTTTTGGAAAAAGTACAAAATTTTATCTTGTAATTATCTCGTTTTTAATTCACATGATTTGTCTAATTGTTTATTTGCTTTAAGATTGTAAGCACTGAAAAAGTAGTGACCATATTTGTTGTGATCTTATACATGTGGATTCATTTATATACATTTGTTTACATACACTATATACACACAACACATATATACAACATCTGTAGGTATTTACATATAGATGTAAATTTACTTCTAGCACACTATAGACTAGTATAATAGGAATTTATTGAATGAATGAAATTTAAAATCTCATTTATGAGCATTTATTTGATGCTTTAATCTCTTCAACAATAAATCCTCATCCAGCACCAAACATAAATTTACTTGGAATAAATTGTCTATACTGTTTTATTCACCTACTGAATTACTGTATCTCAAATATTTCATAGGCCTTCTTTAATAGACATGTAATAAAAAGTAAACTTAAAATTTCATTTACTCCTAGCCTTTCCTCCTTTTTTTTAGTATCTGTTCTTTGGCTTTAGTCATTTGTAATAATAAAGCAACATGCAAATGGTAAGACTCTACAGGCAAAGTATTTGGCACTAGTAATACAGAGAGCTCTCTAGTTAACTGGGGAGATGATTTGAAACAAGTAACTAAACATACGGAGAATGCCAACAGAAGTACACACCATGTGTTACGTAAGTTTGAGGAGAATGGCTGTGTTTCAGGAATACTTAAGATGTCAGAGCAGAAGAAAAATGGCACGGAAACTTTGATTAGAATTTTGAAGGAAGATTATGGACTATGGGATCTTATTAAATGTGAGGAGGAAGACTCATTGCAGGCTGAAGAAACAGCACATGAACACGTAATTTCCCTGCTGTCCACTCTCTTCCTCCAATTCTGCAGATGACAGTGGAACCACCCAAGTGCACTGGTACCCCTAAAAGTTCTAGTTTGCAAATTTCATTATTTCTTCTTTTTGCTTAAATTTTTACTGAATTCTTGCTTAAAAGTTCAGAAGTTTTTAATCTGGTACACAAAGCTCTTCATAAAAGTGATTACYTTAGTTTTAGTAGACAGTTTTCAATATTTATTTGCAAGCATATTTAAAGTTTCATGGCTTTTACAAGGACTCTGTTGTCTTAGTCAAGAATGCATTTTTCTTTTCCTCCAACCACTTTCTACTTTTTAAAAGATTAAACTCAATTATTACATATCTAGAAAAGCTTTAATGAGGTTACACCCCCCATAACACCCTGTTTGTGCTTCTTACTTTTGATTTATCAGATTGTGCCCTTAGGTGTGGCTTATTCAATTGCCTCTTGACACCAAGATCTACTTTCTGGCACTCATACCTCTTATCTCTGACTCACTTTTGGAGGGCATCAAATGTAGGTATTACTGAAAAAAAAATTAAATAGTCTATACTCTGGAATAATTTAGATGGCTCACTTATGCCTTAAGTTAATGTTCTCCATACTAACTGGCAATTAGCTGTTTGAAATTATAGATTTAAAGTATTTGAAAGGACTTTAAAATTATCTAATGAAGTGTTTTAAAAAATATTTTTGACCATGACCCACAGAAGAAATGTTTGACATCATAACATGGTACATGCAAAGATTTACAAATCTGAAATATTTCCACTACATAACACTTAGACTTACTACTAAAAATATAGCAAAATTAATATCAAATGTTTTTGCATTACTACTAAATGTAACAAAGTTTATAATGTCAAAAGAAACCAAATAATAAATCAATAAACCAAAATCAGTTTTCTATTTTCCTGTTTATCCACAAAAAATGATTTCAAGTCCCATTAATGTGCAAATTCCTCATACTATTTATTTAGCTGTAGACTCTCCCCACATTTTACAGGTAAAAGTGAAGTCTTGAGAGAGGTAAGAAAAGTAAGCACAAAACTGGATCTAGAATACATCTAAATATCATGCTGGTTCTCTTTTTACTTTGCTAAGAAGCTACAGCACACATGACTCCTTTATTCTAGGAGACTATATCCCTTGGGCAAAATTCATTTACTAATGTGTTCAGTGAATCTTGTCTTTATGCACAATCTGTACACTTTAGAAAAATACGTGTGTTAAAAACAGTAGTGGTCTGGAATCCAATTAGAAAGGATACATAAAATCATCAGACCTATACACTCTGAATCAAAGCTGATGAGGTTTCAATATGGACATTTCATACATCTATAAGGATACTTTCAGAGTGGTAAAGTGAGTGAGTAGAGATGATACTATAAGTTGGGAAGAGAAGAACCAGTTGGTCGAAAAGCCATACTGCAGAATCCTGAAATAAAGGAACATGAAAGATCTTAAAGTTCTTTGTTAACTGTTTGAAACTGAAATTGTTAGATRTCATATTTATATGAATGTTTATTAAACATAAAAGTTTTTCTGTAGTGCACATTTTACCTTGTTCTGCCCTTCTCTTGGTAAATAACAAGTATACTTTCTTGTATTTAACATTTAAAAAAATCAAAGGGAGATTATTAGAGTAGAGGAAATGGACCAGGGGAGAAAAGAGGGGAGGGAAAGGGGAAATTAAAGAAAAAGTACAGATATTATGCTATAAGGTGCTGTCATGAGAGGGTCGGTGAGGGAAGCTTTATGAAATCGACAGTCRTTAAGGCTCGTGTTGTTATTGAAAAGTAAAATAGGGAGGGGAAGAACACTCTTCATTTAAGAGYGCAAGAGCCCACAGGCTTAATGTATTTTATTTAATTGAAAACAAATCACTAAGCAATTGCAATTATCAGAGAATCATGATTAATACTAGGAAATTTGTATCTGTAGAGATATAAACATCTTTTTGAGAAACGAGTTCAGGCTAAGCAGGAGTTTGAATGAAATCACTCTTAAATATCATTTATTCATTTCTGAGTCTGAAAACAATACCTGGATATTACCTAAATGTAAAGATACATATAAATGTTTTTACCTTAAGATCATTAATTGATCAATTATTTTGGAGTTTAATTATGACAAATGTTATATGGAACCTAAGTTTTTGTTAGTTTAATAATTATGTATTAATTTTAATTATTTCATTCATATGATACAATAATTCCATTTCTGTTACATTTTCTTTTAAGTAAAATTCAAACAAAAATTCTAATAGATTGTCTTCTTCAATTTGTGCTTTGCTATCTCAAGAGATTATTCAATAAACAAAAGGAATAAAACTTACATCATGCTATTGACAATACTAAAGAAATTAAATGAACTATATTAAGCACTTTATGTTTTGAAGTACAGATTTTTCTGTGTTGAATATAATACAGTTCACATATTACTACCTCTTACTATTTCCTTTATCTGGAAAGAAAAGACAATGGCACCTTTTGTTTCAAAAGTCTTACATTGAACAACCACAACAAAAATAACACAAAATACAATAACACACATAAAAATAATCTCATTTTTAAAGTAATCTGCACCAGGCAGCATCTGCACAGCCTGTCTCAGGAGTGGCCAGCATCTGTTCCCATTGGTAACTCTTACTGAGAAAAGCTGAGTACTTACCCGTACATCATGGACCCGGACTGGGGCAGGTTCTATTCAGTCACCATCTGATCTGTATCAGCCAGGTCAGGGTTGGGAGGCTGTAAAATAATGACAGTCACTAGCACCAGAAAAGAAACAAGTCTGGCCAGTTTAATGACTGAGGTTTACCATCTTGATATAGTCTGATAAGAACATGACCAATTCTGTGCCAGCTGTTTCCACACAATGAACTGTAAATACCTGCACAGAGAAACTCCAAGCAGTAGAGGGCTCCTAAGGTGCAACTGGTGATGATTCAGAAGGCCACACTTTTCCGGTTGGGGAGGTATGATCAGCATTGAGGTGAGGTGTGGTCCCAATTTGTTTTAAAATATACAAAACATTAGAATACACTGATAGCACTTCTTACTTCCTCATTAAAATACTCCTTCTCTTCCCTTTGAGGGAATCATGAAGGTGTGGTGGAGAGAAGTCTTGGGTTCTAGACTAGAGCACCTGTTTCACCTTAGTAATGTGACCATGGGCAAGCTGCTTAGCTTGTTGAGATTTATTTCCTAATAAGTAAAAGGGCTTATATTTCATAATATATCAGGGCTATATTTGTCTTTTCTAATATTTCCTGTTTCACTTTGATATAAATGATTTTATTAAAAAAAAATTTATTCAGCCCCCCCAAAAACAAACCAAAAAAATAGAAAAATAAAAAGAAAAAAATCAAAACCCTGTTTCACCTTCCCATAATCAGGAATAGTTTAGTCCATCTTACTGGTGTGAATTACTCAGCCTTTATAATTAGTCCCTTTACATATTTGCATATATTTATGGAGATTTTAKAATGAATACATGAACTTTCAATAAAGATCAGTAAAACTGTAACATAGACACTGGAAATTTAATAAGTACTTTTAAAGATTCAGAGTGAGAAGATAGTAAAAAAAAAAAGAAAACAACTCTGTACATGTACACTTTTGTTGTTCATGCAGAATAATTTTGTCTAAAATACTGCAGGCATAATGAATCTAATCTTAAAATTTTGTAATAATATTCTACTAAGGTATTAATACAAAATACATTTCCCAAGATTTTTGGCAAATGGAAAAAATGAAGCAGATTCTCAGTTTGTATAACCATCAACAATATGAAAAAAGACATAACTTTTAGTAACAATGAAAATTTCTAAACAAATAATTCACAAAAAGTTACCATTAACTTTAACTACATTGAAAACTATACTTTAGCAAAAATAACTTTGCTCTTTGGAATATTGATTTATTTCAAAAGTAAAATTTATAAAATCAAACAAAAAAGTGCTAGAAAAATCATGTCAATTTTACTAAATGACTATATTCTATTATTGTTCTCATAATCCTTACTTGTTAAAATTTTAAAAATACTRCCAGCCCTCTATATTAGTACAAAACAATGAGGTAGAAAACAAAGTATGTGGCCTAGGTGGAGAAAATTATGCCATACAAGAAGCAAGTTCACGTAAGTATAAGAATCAGCTTTGAGGATTCTGAAATGAGGTGTGGTATATACATATTTTTTCTCTTAGTTAACCAAATCAGCATTTTCATATTGAATCATAGCACTTACGAGAGAAGAGCTTAAGTGATACAGCAATATGTACTTTCACCATCCTTAAGCACTCAAAGATTGCAACAGAAGCAGYCTAATATTTAAAAGGTCAAAAATAGGTTAACTATCTCAGGAAAACTTCCTGTTCAGTAATTCTTTCAAATTTTCTTTTATTTGGTCTTAAAGCTTGAGTCTCCCCCATCCCATTCCTTCTGCTTTCCATAAATATGTAAAGATGACTTGTTTTTATATTCTGAGGTAAAGTCTTTGCCATGGTCAGGTGGCAGTATACCAGGCTCCTGGGGGAGACAGGCCTGGGTTCATTTCCTGGCACTGTCATTGATGACAGTAGGAATATACTTAGGAATATTCTTAACCTTCCAACCTCTTAGTTTGTCTCTCTGTAAAATGTAGATGACACTTATAACTAGTTTGATAATAAATATAAAGAAATAAAATTAGTGTCTGGGCCATAATAAAGACCTCAAAGTCTTAGRTACTGTTTTTTCAACTCTATTCCCCACCCCCACCCCCGCCTAGAATTAGCACTATTTTGTTAATTGTTTTCAATAGACTTCAAAAGTGRTATTTTCCAAGCTCTTCTGCCATATGTCTTCCTTTTCATATTGCCATGAGTTCTTTGTTTTGTTTCAAATAATTAAAGACATGGATTTATTAGGCGCTAATTAATGTAGCATATGAAGATTTTTAATATTCTTCATAAGACTGGATAACTAATTCTGAGGGTTGGTAGGCATTAGTAATTTCTATTATAAAAGTGAAATTATTACATGTGAATTTTATTTAAGTGGCTCTCGATACACTCAGACACATGTTGCTGCATGTGGGCAGGTACTTTAGTGGTTTCCATTGTTACATCGTTGATTGATATTATTATCATTCAAAAGGAAATGAGTGTATGTCATAAAATGCCAATGGGCAGAAGTCAACAATGCTATTATGATAAGACATCAGGAGAAGTTAAAATACTCTAAAGTGAATCACATCTCTTTTGTGTCTAAAAGAAAAGAAAGTAATACAGAATATAACTTTCAGAGCACAAGCTATAAAAACATTGTGGACACTTAACTGTAATTGCAGATCTTAAATTCATTACATTTTAAACTTAGTAAATAAATGAGTAATGAGCAAATAAATAATTTAACTTCATACTTACTAGTAGCCTACAAATTAAAGGTTGATTTCAGTTTTGCTTCTACTTATAAAGCAATCAATATACTATTTTTTTCAATAAAGAAGGAATATAAGATCACAGCTTGTACAAGACCACAACTTCCCAAGTGTGAGCACTTGGATCTAAAAGATGCTAGGATAGAAAAATGAGACTAGCCTGAACGAGCTTCATGGATTAGAACGCATGTTTCATAAGCCTTAGAAAAAGAGACTAAACTGAGTGGCCTTTGTCTAATATATTTTAGCAATTAATTGACACTATTTGTTTAGAAAATAATCAGAGACAATTCGATTTCAGGACACTACTGTAAGGTTAGCTTATCTCTATGGATCATTTCCATGTGCTCAATTAAATTCTTGAATTGAAAAGCTCAAAACATATGTGCTTTTTCTTTTTTCTTTTTTTTTTTTTTAACCCAAGAAAGTAGGACTTGGAGTTTTTCACACTGATGCTTAAGTAGATTTTTTTCTTGAATTGTAATTGCTTGTTTGAGAAAACTTTATGGTTAAGCAAAATGTATATTTTACAAGTGAGAAAGTAATCACATTGAAATTATCACATAGTTTATAACTACCTTCAAATTGTAGACAAATTCTATTAACATTCAAACAAAGTATTAAAATGATGTCCTTATAAATATCTGTATTTGTAGCTAAAACAACTTATCTATCAGTTTGAAGAGTCCAGCAAGACTTAAAAAACTAACCTATACAGCATTCTTTGGATGGTCTCCTCATGGTTTTTTGGGTTTCTGTTTTCTATTTATGTAATATTATAATCAAGTTCATCAATAATGAGTGGTATATCAATTTTTTATGTCCTAGAAGTTTTCAAAATTTGAAAATTTTACAGTTTMAGTCTTTATTATTGAGCACTCTCTATATTTATTTGAGTTATTTTATGATAATTATAAGATGTTTCTGTAACCCCCATATGTAGAATTCACTTTTTATATTTTGTGATCTAGCTAATTCTTACCTAAAATTTAGGAATGTGGAAGATAAGTTAAGAATTGGCAGTTATATTAAAGTTAATAAACTAATATTAGTAACACTGAAAATATGTTTACAATAGTCAAATAGCCATTTATTTTTATTATCGTGTGATTTTATGAAAAAACATTTCGTGTGAAAATGGTTTATCTCTTTGCAAAACATTAGTGGGTTCTGTTGTAATAGAACTCAGCTTCAAGAGAATTTGGGGGCAATTATTTATATCTTCAGATCTATATTTATATATTTTCTCCTTTCATAACACTTTCAATCTGGTTTGCTAAAACAATAGGTCTCATAAATAAAAGGCTTAATAACAACATTTTTTACGTGGTTAAAGTAGTCTAAGAATGTATGTTTCTGGGGTTGCATGGTAATTGGCTATATTTACTGATTGACTAACATTTGCCATCTTATACAAAAATTTTGAGCATGAAATACAACTTTATAGGCAGTTTGAATGTAAAAGATGTTAAACAATAAAGGAAAATTCAAATTAACACAAACTTCTAATGCAAAGGATCCTTCTACCAAAAGAATTTGTCTTCAAAAATTCTCTTCTAAGCACAGTGAAGGCATCCAAACCAAACGTCAAAATCACAGGCAGCTAATATTACTRTGCCAGAGACTTATGCAGGAAAGAATCCCCTAGGGCTCACAGAGAGGGTATTCATCCTTCTCCAACATCAGGAAGAACAGATAGTTAATGCCCTGGATCATTCAAATAGCCAGTGACTACAGAGTGACCAAACTCATGGGGAGCAAAAAACAAACCCCATAGTGAAGAGCTTTATGAATAATATGTTTGCATAATTGTGCAAAACTCTGAAGTGGATAGCATGACCCCCAGGCAAGATTGCATTTCTTCCATACATCAAAGTGATGAAGTGGGAACTCCACATCTAGGTTTTTGCTTCTTCTCCCAAGTTGGTATATCCAAGCATGTAGTCTTCCTCAAGAACTGATGCTTTTCCTGGAAGAGTCATCTTTGCCTTTCATTCTTTTTATTGGTATTCACTCTTCTTGAGGTTCATGATAAGTTTTCAAGTCATTTTCTACTTGGTCTCCACTTATCGTCACAGTTGACAACTTGCTGAACCACAAGTCTAGGACAATTCTGAGCCTTGCCAGAATGCTTTTGCCAAATTTAATCTGTCTCTCCTGGAGCAAGATATTTTTTGCCTTCTCTAGTAGTGCAATACTATCTACTTGGTCATCTTATTTATGAATTTGTATTTTCTTATTTATGAAGTTACACTTTGGA